TATTCTTCAATTTCTTTCTATGTCCCACTTGCAGACAGGAGCCTAGCATAGCTGTCCTCTGAGAGGCTCTACCCAGCAGCTGACTGAGACAGATGCAGAAACCCAAAGCCAAACATTGGACAGAGATTGGGGAACTTGATGGAAGAGTTAGGGAAAGGATTGAAAGCCCTGAAGGTGATGGCAACCCCACAAGAAGAAAAACAGTATCAACTAATCTGGACTTCTGGGAGCTCCCAGAGACTGAGCTGCCAACCAAAGAGTCTATATTGGCTGGCCTGAGTGTACTCCCACCCCAACATATATGTAACAGAGGACTGTCATGTCCTGCCTCAGTGTGAGAGGATATTCCTAATCTTCCAGAGATCTGATGTACCAGGGTGAGGAAATATCCAGGGGAACATCTTCTCTGAGATGAAGGGTGGAGGCATGGAAGAAGGAACTCTTTGAGGATCAACAAGTATGGCAGCATTTGGAATGCTAATTAATAAATTAATTAACAAAAATAGTTTTCTCCTGTGACAAATGGGTTCAAGCATCAACATCAAGTCTTTAGACAAGAAGTTCTCAATGTTCCTAATGCTGTAACTCCTTAATACAGTTCCTCATGTTGTGGTAACTCACAACCATAAAATTATTTCATTGCTAGTTCATTGCTATAATTTTAAAACTGTTAGGAGTAACAATATAAATATCCAATAAGCAGGAGATCCCCTTAAATGATCTACAGGTTGAGAACCACTGCTTCAGGCTAAGCCATCCTGCCCTTCATGAAGGAATGGAATTTCTATAGAGCACTTCCATTTAGTTGCATCTTCATATTGTCAAAAGAACAGAGTGGGTAATTCTTAGAATCTTTGCAGAAATACACCCAGGAGACAATGAGGAAACTCTGTTCAGAAGAATGTGTCAATTACAGGAAATGATTTGTAAACTCTCCAAGAGCTGTTTTCTGATAAGTTGTGACTCACAGGAGGGTATAGATTAAAAATGAAGCTACATAATGAATGGCATTGCTACTACATTGATGCCAAGACCAACTCAGGATAAGTAGGCATTTTGTTTATAGGAAACTTACCACTCTTGATAGATGTTGGCAACTATCTGTGAAAATGTTGGTACGGCCACATTAAAGACTATATCGTGATAGAGAGAAGTTTGACAGTGGGGTATAATTGTCTCATTTCTTTTCAAAACTTCCCTTACTTTCTTTAAAAAGTTAATACTGTACATTATTTATTCCAAATACTAAAACATTATTAGTTCAACATACGACCACTGTAAAGATTGTTGAAATAGTTCGCATGTTTTCTGAAATCAAATATTCAAATTTAATATGTATTACACATTTATTGCATCTCTGAATCCAGATCAGACACATCCCAAGTACACAGTGAAAAATGAATGACCAGAAACCACCATATTGGATAGATAACTCTATATGGTAGTTTAATTCAGTTTATACCTAGATTTTTTTTTTTTGTTTAGATTACAATCATTGTGGAAGGTTCTATAGACTTCTCATGAAGCACTATACTTTTCTTCTTTTCTCCCATATTACAGCCCAAATGCTATTCCCATAACCCCACCTTTAAGACCAAGGTTTATATTCAATTATATACAATTGTTGATGTAATGTCTTTCTGTGTAGTTCTTGCTATCCTGAAAATTATTATGGAGCCCAAGATGGCTTCAAATTCATAGCGATCTACCTATCTCTGCCTCCCTAGTGCTGGGATTAAAGGCATGTAACACAACATCCAACCCAAAATTATATTTTTATGATGATTAAATTTTCCAAATTTTATATATAATCAATTTCCTTATTTCTTAAAGTCATTAGTCCATTCTTGTTTTGATTTGCTTGCAGGTTCCATAACAGGCTCCTTATTCAGAACTGCTAAGCCTTTGTGTAATGTAGGAAAGAAATGCCAAATACAGAAGCTATCAATCTTCAGGTTTAGAGATCTACACACTTGGATCCTGGCTAGGCTATTTCACCAACCCTGGCCAAAGTCTAACCCCAATCCTCAGGCAGAACTTGAACTGTGACAAAATGAGTTCATGGCATGTATGAAGGTGAGAATGGAAAAAGTTCCTTTTAAAAGAGAGTCACTTATTTTTATTATATGGATATGGAATTTTTCTGCATGTCTTTATGTGTACCACATGCACGCCTACTCTCCTCAGAGACAAGAAAAAGGTGCCAGATACCTGGAACTACAGGTCGTTAACTCACCATGTGGATTCCAGAAACCACAAATACACTCAACTAACTCTCCAGGCTGTCCTTAGCTCCTTACAGCTGTTCTGTTATAGCTTTGTTCCCATTGTCAAAAGAGTACTACTATCTGAGAACAATGTCTGGCCCTGAGTGGAAATTTGGCTTTCTGAACTATCAAGACTATTACTAGATGACTGTCTAGCAAGAGGTTTTCTAGTAAAAAACAGAAACATCATTTTCTCTTTCTTTCAAACCCAGTCCACTGGGCCTATTAATCATCTGGGCAAGAAAATACTCTTCAGAAAATCCAGGAGACTTTAGAATAGTGCAGAGCCTATTTAAGTATGTAAGGTGGCATATATTCACTGGCTTATTTAAAAGGAAGAAAAAAATAAGACAACGAGTTGGGCAAGTTATGGGGTGGGGGCTAGGAGGAACTGGAGTAAGAAATTAAGAGTAAATATTATTGCAATGCACTGTACGTGTATATAAAACATTTTCTAAATCTGCAAGTACCTGTAAAACAATTTAGTCCAAGTGTATTTTCTTGTTAGAACGAAAGTAAATCAAAAACTACCTAAATTCTACTAAAATTGTAGTATCACTATAACTGTAGATTTACATATGTCTATATGGATATGACATATATAGAGAGAATGAAAGAGATGATGATGATGATGATGATGATGATGATGATGATGAAAGTAGTAGTATGTCCATTTAAGGGTTAGACAGAACCATAAGCATGTTGTTTTCAAACATTAAAACTGTGAGAAAATTTTATCTATTCATTGTTTTGATAATGCATTTTCTTCATTTTGCAAACAAAAATGAGATCTTAGAGCTCAATCTAATAAATTTACACTGATGAACTTCAAAATTTCAAGCTTGCAAATATTAGAAAACATTGGATAACAACTGTATTTGTTACTTTTCTCATGGCTGTGACAAAATATCTGAGACAGCAAATTCAGCAACAATTTATCCTGGCTCAGTTGAGGATTTATGATGGCTCACAGTTTAGGATTTATCCGGACTCACAGATTAAGAAGGTAAGAAGGCCTGATGACAGGAGAGAAAGGTGGCTGGTCACATTGCATACACAGTCGGGAAGCATAAAAGACAAGAAAACTGGGACTCAGCTCTCTTTGTCCTTTTCATTCAGTCAAGACCCTCAATGGAGGGAATAGTGATGCCTACACTCCAGGAGGGTCTTCGGTCGGTTGTTGAACTTCCCTGGAAACAAACACAGGAATGTGCCAGGAGATTTGTCTGATACACCAGAGGGTACAAGAGCCGGGTGCTGAATCTTACTCTTCTGGTGTTTAAACTTGAGGTGAGCATAGAAACTCTTCTGCTCAAGATCATGTGAACCATGCATGTGAAGATTGCCCCCCCCACTTCCTTGAGCTGATGGAGAAATAAACAATTAACCACTTTCCACCATGTTGGTTTGACGCAGAAGTCAGTTGAAGGCTATTCTGTGTATCCAACCACACTTGTTACCGCAAGTACCCCTGTAGCTCTTGTTTGCTGGAGACCAGAAAGGTACAGCTAATAGTATTTACTGGTATTAATTTAAAAGTCAGCTTTATGGGCAGTTAAGGTCCCCAAACTACTGTTCTGGTTCACGTTGAATTAAGATGTTTGAGAGTTGCCTGATTCTTAACATCTAAAAGTTTTAAGCTGCCTCTTTGAGAACCGCTTGGGCTGAATCTCCCTTTCTTATAGCCACTATTTGCCTCAGCTCTGCAATAAGCACGTCATTGACATTGACTTAGCTGTACTCTGCTGTCATTGTTCCATGTTCTGATTTCATATTCTATCATGAGTATCATATTCTTCATTATTTAGTCATTCACATTTTATTTATCCATTCATTGGTTTTTCATTTGCAAGATGACTTTAACAGCCTTTACCATTATTGCACCCAATTTCATTTGCACTTTTATTTTAAGACTGATTAGGCAATTTGGATATAAAATGGTTAAACTCAACTATCTTTTAAAGAAAAAGGATAGTTGATATAGAGAAGAGTTTAGTGGTGGAAGCACTGAAATACACTGATACTTGGGGTACAAGTATGTGTGAATGTGTGTGTCTGTGTGTGTGCATGTATGTGTGCCTGTATGTATATGTGAATGTGTATGTGTCTGTGTATTAAAGTGACTTTTTATGTTTCTGTGAGTGTGAGTGTGTATATGTGTCTGTGTGTGTGTATGTGTCTTTGTGTGTGTATATATGTATGTATGTATTTTGAGGACAGAAAATAGTTTTAAAGAATATGTTTTTATAATCGATACATACCCTGACAATAATATTATGTTTTACCTGTAGTAAATACTATTACTCAAATGTTTATCTCCATAATTTGTTTGATGTTTTAGAATATTTTAATTTAATAAAGCTGGTAGCTTATTATTAGAATAGCAAGAACTAAAACATAATTTCTTTTCTTTGGCTGTTAGCCATATATTTTAAGGTATCATATATAGTTTATATGCATATAATTTATACACATACTATATTTACTATGTAAAATGTATATACTCTATGTATCAGATGATTTGATAATACTAAAAATTATAAATGTAAGTATAGATAATGTTAAAAACACAGAAGCAATGTATTACTGCAATTTCTTACATGCCAAATTTAAAACCAATTTTCTATTTGCTGTTAAGGGAATGGAGATGTAGTAAGAGGGCTTGGTGTTTTGCAGAACCCAAATTTGGTTTTCAGTAACCAAGTCAAATGGCTCAAAACCTTCCATAACCCCAGCTCAGAGGATCCAATGTTCTCTTCTGGCCTCCTTGGGTAGGTGTATGCATGTGGCATACATTCTCACAGACATACACAAGCACATACACATGCACAGACACAGACTCATGCACATACACATAAAAATAATTCTAATAAAAAGGTATGCTGTTAAATATCCATTTGTTAAGTGATATGTATTCGTAGTCACAGACTGAGCTGATCATCATTCAACACAGTAATCAATATCTATGAGCTCAGAGTATGGCTCATGAGGGTGTCTAAAGACCTATGCCTGGCTTTAAAAGAATCTGCCTGGAGAATTCTACAATGCTTCCTTATTATTACTACTTATGTTGGAAACTGACTGCTAGAAAAAAATCCCTTAATTCTTATATGGGGAAGAAAAAAAATTAAGTCAAAAGCAAGTCTACCAAAAAAAAAAAAGCTAGAATTTTTCTAAAACATTTCTTCTGAATTAATTAGTATTCAATGCTAGCTCAGTATAGTCTGTATTGCTATTTATTATAATTAATTAGATTATCTGGACCTGCTCAGAGTGGTTGAAATTACTGGCTAGAACTTACACACTCTTTTTTTTGTTTCTACTTTTAAACAATGAAAAGATGTTGCAGGGTTTTTTTTCAGTTCTATAAAAATGTAAAAATTAATCCAGACAAAATATGTAGGCACATACCTCTCCTTTTAGTTTTGATCATTTATAAAACCTAGTTGTTAATTAGTTCCCACATTCATCAACTTCTGAGATTATACCTTCCTCAAACTCACTAACATCAAGATTTCAGGGAATAAATGTTTCCTGATACAGGTTTTGTTTTTTACTCTTATTTGACACCAAATCAATTGGAAAACCTAATCCTGACTTCAGTGAGATTTTGATATAGGAATGCAGAATGACATCATAGACTGTCCTCCACTATCATTACCCAGAGGCAGTGATACCTACCAGTAAGCCCCTCCCAATGCCACTGTGCAAGTAAAAGCTAGCAGAGCTAGCTCATCATAGGTCTCAGTTAGCTTCCAGACTGTCCCTGCCCTCTAGCTGGTGAAAACCAAATATAGACCCAGGAAACATCAGAAACTGTGAGTTTGGGATGGGGATTGTGCTCTCCTGCTGTCTGGAACAAAGGGATAAAATGGAATGCCATAGGAAGCTGCTTAGAAAGTTTGGAGAACTTTGAGTTATTTTCAGAGAGAATTAATTGAGCCTGCACACTCATATCCAGTGATAACTTCATCCCAGAGGTGAGAGTAGGATTGGATCAAATTGAGCACGTATTTAAAAATTATTAATATGTAATGTACAGATGATTTTTAACTTATCAGATATTTTGGAAAATATTTATTACTTTTGTAGACATTCTAAATAGGCATTATTTCCTCCACTGTGAATCTAATAAATTCCAGAAGAGTCACATGGCAACTAATAATGTGTTTTTAATAATTTAAAAATCATGCTTTCTCATAAACATTAATCTGATTCAGTCCTGAGAATTACCAGAAGCTTTGGTTTTGATGAAATGTGCTTTGTGTACTTAAATCACTAAATATCCCGTATTTTACCAGTAACTTATTTTGAATTTATCTAAATGATATTCTAAATATGACTTTTATAAGATGCATTAAAATACAAATATAACTGGGCTGCCTTGTATAGGCTCAATAGAAGAAGATGCACCAAATCTTACAGAAATTTAATGTGCCAAGGCTGGTTGTTATCTGTAGAAGGCCTTCTTTTTTCTAGGGAAAAATGGTGGAGGGGTAGGTGGGGCAGGGAGGTGAGAGGGAGGGGCTCGGAGGAGACAACAGGGAGGAAGTAGTAATGTAAATGAATAAGCAATGATAAATATGAATGTAACAAGATTTTAAGTACTTCTTATGAGATCAAGAATCTTTTCATTGCTTTTCAAAAGCCAGATCTGGGGATCAAAACCAGCTTTCAAATACTAAGCAAGTTTTCTACCACTAAGCATCTATTTTCTGTAACCTAGAGACTTGTGGCATAGTTACAAAATCTATGTCTTATTTGATCTTATTGCTTTAGTAGATAAAGACATTGAAGTTCACAAGATTGGGATACCCCTGTTTCTCTTGACCCATTTTGTTTTCTAGAAGCATTTCTGCTCTGCCTCTAGAGCTCTGGGGTTTCAGACACATACTTCTAGCATTGATAACCTGGTTTTATCGTGGTCCATTACTATTTTCTTTGATTGTCTCCTCCTGTCTTGGAACAAAAGAATATATTTTGTTGTTCTTAGTAGTAGTAATTAGCTCAGAAGAAATGGTTTTCTATTGATTCAGACTCTTCCCTTGATTTCTGGGGAAGAGAGCTTATTTTATACATTTTTAGACTTGCTTAGATGAGTTAAATTTTTGAATTTTTGAATTTATGAATTTATATATATTCACAAACTAAGGAATGTTGACTATTGGATGTCTGATTTGTGGAATACAATTTGGGTTCTTGCAGTTTAGTTTCTGCATCTATAAAACAAAGCAAGATGTGTCATCACCGTGTTTGTTGTTAGAACTGCAGTAGGAGCTATTCTCTTGACTTCTTTGCCTTGCCTGGCATAATTTCTTATTTTTCTCATACTATAAAATGGGAAAAATAAAGTCCACTGACCACAAAACTTACAAACTAGGAAAATAAAAGACTGTTTAGTATAAAGGAATAATAAAGTTTATATAAGGGCATGCCTTTCCAAAAGACGACAAATTCTACCATTTTTGCCACTGGGACTGATGCAGGCATTAAGTGATCAGATATAATTTTTCAACAAAATATATGAATCCAAGTATTTAGAGATAATTAATGTACATTGACTTCCAAAGTTTAGCAATGAGTAAAATTATTTCACGTTTGTCTAGTAGCTCAAGATAATATTTGTAATAGTTGTTCACAGAACATTTTTTAATTGTGTTGACATTCTGGTCACAGAGAAAATATTTAAAAATCATTTCTATTCCTAAAGAAATTCACTTTTTCCAGATTTTTTTCCAGCTCTCTCTATTACTTCGTGGTGTGTGTTCTCATTATCAATTGTATTAACTATACCTTGTGAAGCAAAGATGAATACTAGTATATGAAATTCAGCACAATTAGATAATAGTCTGTGACAGTTGTTAGATATATTAAGCTATTACACAACTTTTGAAATAATTTTATTGGCTGCTAAAATTTACAAATAAATATACATTATCTCCAGGTACCTAGATTCATATACCTGTAAAGATGTTTGCTATGCTCCTTCTTTTAGCAGCTTTCAGAAATGAATGAGGAAAGACCAACATATGCAGAGCTGAAATTATCCTTGAAGAGTAAGAAGGACAAAAACCAGCCAACTCAGAAAAATAGAGGTAACATTCTTCTACCCAACTGTGTGTGTGTGTGTGTGCACACACGTGCATGTGCGCACATGTGTGTGTGTGCAGAAAACATAATATAAAATATGAAAAAGATAAACTCATATTAGTCATATTCATATATATTTGATGCTACATGTCTGTCTCTCTTATTGAAAAAGGTATTTATGGGTGAATAGCCAGTGAGAGATCAAATCACAAACCTCATTCAAAAACATCCATTCTGCTCTAATTACAAAGTTTTCTTGTTTCTTATGTATCCTGCCTGTTGGTCTCATGCAGAATATCCATGGCACATAAGTGTTGTGATCCTGGGAACAATATGTCTTTGTCTTCTGATGTCAAGCACAGTTTTGGGATATCTGTGTGAGTATGATACATAAATTTGTTATGGGAACAATGAATTAAACAGAATTACAACTGCTAAACCTGTGTAAGTTTTGAAATTCTGTATAAATGCTAGCAATTATGGTATTGGTGATACTGATGATGATGATAAAGATTTTAGTAACATCTTATATTTCTGCTTTTATGATATGTAAAAGGATATACTGCTATCATTACACAAAAATATTATGAATAAGTCTAATGAAGATATATATATATATATATATATATATATATATATATATATATATATATACAAATTCATATACAGTCTTAATGTGTAAAATTTCAGTGTGCTTCTTAAATTGGGTAGGTTGTTCTTTCTTTTGTGTTTATGATTTAGGATTTTTTTAGATTGACTTCCAGCCTCTCACAAGTCACACAAGAGACTGGAGAGATGGCTCTGTAGTTAACAGCACTTGTTCTTGCAGTTCTTGCAGTGGTTAAGAACACAGCTCTAGCAGGACCTTGGTTCAGTTCAAAGCACCCACATGGTGGCTCACAACCATCCATATCTCTGATTTAAAGGGTATTTAACTTCTGGCATTCAAGAGCACTAAATGGGCATGGTGTACATATATACATTCAGCCAAAGCACTCACACACATAGAATAAATAAATGAAATTTTAAAGTCATGAAAATGTTTAACGAAAGACTCCACTGAGCAGGATAGATGCTGTAGGGAAATGAGCAAGCCATTTAATAAAACATATTATGCATGTGCACTTCAAGTTCTCAGCTTCCTGCAGAACCACTCGGACCACAAGGGAGAATAAACCTGATCGCTTTCCTCCATAAGCACACCACCATTTATTAATTCTGATTCATCTCTAACAAGTTAGTTTAACTGCTTATTTAGTTGATTTTGTTGTTCAAGACAGGGACCTTTCTGGTGGCCCTGGTTGGCTTTGAACTCACTGAGATCCACTTGCCTTAGGCCCTTCCTGTCCTCCAGTGCTAGGATTAAAAGCTTGGCTGTCATGACTGGCCAAAATTGTTTTTTTAACTCCACATGCTCCTTCCTGCCTTTGTCTCCCAATGCTGAGATAACAGGGCTATAGCAATACATCTAACTATAACAGATTTTAAAAAATTGTACTCTATAATTTCTTTCAGTATACTGTTCCTAATTGTTTAAAAACATTTTGCTTTAAATTGATTTATTCATTTAGTAAGCAACTTTAGATATCTCTCCTGGTCAAAAACTACACACACACACACACACACACACACGTGTGTGTGTGTGTGTGTGTGTGTGTGTGTGTGTGTGTGTATCAAAGAATCTTAATGGAAAAAAGGAGCTTTGATATATATTTGTCTGTTTGTGACTCTGTGTAGAAAAGTGGATCAATTTTTAAAATAAAATGAGTGCAACTATAAGGGCTTGAAGAGATGTTATGTGAGTGGCTCATGACATCACAATGTTAAGAAAGCTTCCTGGTGAAGACAATAATTTATATTACATAAGAAATAAGTAGAATTAAGACACTGATAGAGAAAACCCATTTAAGTTGAGTGAGCAGCATGAAAAAGGAAGAGATTTAGAGACTCATGGATAGTTCCAGGGAAGTGAAAGAGTAAGCTAGACATAAGCTTGGATATGCAAATTGCATATTAAGGGTTGTTTGCACCAGGACAAGGAATTTTAGAGTTCATCTGGAAGCCAAATGAAATAAAAACAGCCATCTGATGGTTATAAGAGAAGAGCAACATGAGTCAAGTTTCAAGGGCTGATAAGGCCTTGGGAAAGCACAGGCTCATTAGACCCGAAATGAGTGGGGATGTGAAGGAGACTCTTTCAGGAGACAAATTAAGTGACCATGATTATCCACATTAGCATCATGATAGAAGTAATGAAGTCATACAGGGAAATACAGGAGGAATGGGAGAGCTATAGAGCAACTAGAGAGTACTTGGTCAAGTAAGGTAGCGACCAGATGGAATCAGCAATCCCATTTCATATCAGGCTCATGTATCTTTACAGGAAAAGTTGTATTAAATCTTAGAGAAAGCATGAGAACACTAAAGAACACTAAGTTATGGTATTATATTATATAGAGAGAAAGATATTATATAATTATAATTATATAATATATATGGAGATATATATATATATATATATATATGGAGAGAGAGAGAGAGAGAGAGAGAGAGAGAGAGAGAGAGAGAGAAATGGCAAATACGGCAAAAATTGAGGGGCATATGGTGCATCAGTGCACATACCCACAAAGCTTAGGTTTGAGTTAGTTCTTTATAGTAAGCTGTTGTCAATAGGTTCAGAGCATCACCACACACATGAGATTAAGATAAATATCTAGATTAGAAATATTAACTATGTTGAATTGTGTTCAATTAATACAGAAAATTGATGAAACGATGGTTAAAGGAGATGGAAGGCAGATCATGCAAATAATTTTCAAAACCAAGAGGGACAGCTGCCATGTTAGAAGACCAGAGGTCAGGATGATGATCCTTAGAAATAAATGAAGATTAAAAAAAAACAACAGATGAAAATTGGAAAAAAATGAAAATTTGACTAGTACATAGTTGGAAATTCAGCTGTCTAGCATCAGGCAGGGCATGCTAGCAGAAGTGATCGGACCTGACAGTCTACACAGATGGAACTTCAATCAGGAGAACACCACTAATGCTTGTTGCTGGTGTATATTTGGTAGAACCATGTTGCAAACCAAACCAGATTGCAATGGGTAGAATGTGTTAAGGTTAGAAATCAGTGAGAATGGAAAACTGTTATTATTTACGCTACGGTTTAGCAAGTGCTGAAGGTATGTTGATTTACATGGTCTATTGAATGGATTTGGAAATGGAATTTTTACAGGAGTCAAAAAATAAACTACAGGGATATGTAACAATGTGGGTGAATATTAGCATGATAATGTGAAATAAAGAAAAGAAATTTTAAGAAATGATATACTCTAAAATTGGCTGTAAGCTGAATCAGGGGAAAAATATCTAAATATATAAAAGGAATGATCAAGGTGCTATCTGATGCATCTATGTTTTTAAGAGAAAAATTTAAATAAAACTACATTAAAAAAAAAGAAAAGTTCGTGAGCACCCTATACACAAGGAATTCCATACAATATATTTTTCTGAATAACTATGAAAAGAAAAGCATGTGACAAATCCTGGATAGATTTGGAAGACACTTTGATTCATTCTTTAAAATTTGTATTATTTTTTATTATGTGTATATGTATGTGTATCTGTATAGATGTATGCAAGTGAGTGTAATCTCTGCAGGCCAAGAGAGAGCCTCAGAGGTGCCAGAACTGGAGTTTCAGTCAGTTGTGAGACATCTGTTGTGAGTACTAGGAACCAAAATTGGGTCATCTACAAAGAGTAATATACAACCTTAATCAGTGAGCTATCTCAAAATCCCCATGATCATGATTTCCTACAGAGATTTTTGGTTTTCTTTGCACATTAGAGGAACCTGCATGACTTTCTCTATCTCTATCCTTTGAGTCCATTTTAAGTTTAATAAAGTCATATTCATTAAACTACACATGTAAACATTAAATGGGCTAATAAACTACAGGGAATAAAATTAGTTTACACACTTTTTTCTTTTCAATTGACCTTATTGATATGTTATAAATACTTTAAAAATTCACGTGTTGCAAGTTATAAACAGTTGTAGTTTAAAAATTTGTTTCATATTTTAGCACTTTAAAATATTTTATACTTTTCTGGTTGTACTTTAACACTATCTACTGTTTATAATCACAATTAAATAATTGTAACAATGTCGTCAGTTATCACCATTTGTGTTTCTAATTTTATAATATGGACATAGTTTTTCAGGGCACTTCAAGGTTCAAAATTCAATGCGAGAAAGTTGCAAATGAGAGTGCTGTCTCCTCAGTGGAAGTAGATCCTTCAGGTTTACCACGTACTACAGGTATGCATTGGAACTTCAATTGAAAAGTGGCATGCATATTTTAAAATTTTTTCATTGGTTATTTTGTTTATTTACATTTAGAATGTTATCCCCCTTCCTGTTTTCCTCTCTGAGACACTCATCCAATCCCCCTCTCCCTGCCTACATGAGGGTGCTCCTGCCCCACCTCCCTAGCATTCCCATACACTAGGGCATTAAGCCTTCATAGGACCAAAGGCATCTCCTCTCTGATGCCAGGCGAGACCATCCACTGCTACATATGCAGCTGGAGTCACGGGTCCTTCCATGTGTATTCTTTGGTTGGCAGTTTTAGTCCCTGGGAGCTCTGAGGTCGGGATGGGGGGGGTCTGGCTGGTTGATATTGTTGTTCTTCCTATGGGGCTGCAAATCCCTTCAGCTCCTTCAGTTCTACCCCTAATTTCTCCATTTGGGTCCCCCTGCTCAGTCCAATTGTTGGCTGCAAGCCTCCACATCTGTATGCGTAAGGCTCTAGCTTAGCCTCTCAGGAGACATCCATATCAGGCTCCTGTCAGCGAGCACTTGGCACCACCAATCCTGTCTGGGGTTGATGGGTGCATATGGGATGTCCTTTCCTTCAGTCTCTGCTCCACTCTTTGTCCCTGTACTTCTTTTAGACAGGAGCAATTCTGGGTTAAATTTTTGAGAAGGGTGTGTAGCCCCATCCCTCAAATGGGGGTCATACCTAACCTGTGGATATGGTCTCTGGTATACTTTTAATGGCATTTACATTTCTGTCCCATTTCATATTGTGAACTTAAAACTTTAAGTTGAACTTTGGCAGGATGTGAGCTTTGTTTGCTTCTCCTTCCTGAAACCATCTTTTCGGTGACAGTTAATTAAACCTATGTTTTCACTGAAGAAGTTGCTATTGGTTGTCTTCTTGATTTTATTGAACATTCTATACTATTCAATATTGGGATTGTATACCGTGGGTGTATTTACCTAACATAGAGACCTTCAGATCAGTGTCACCTACATTACTCATTTTGATGGGTCTCTTCTTGCAGATAGGAATGCGTAACGCTGGTGTCTTTCTTCTTGAGATGTTAAGATTATCAGTGAAACCATAACAAAGTCCTCAGATCTGTCGGAGCCAGTTCCTATATCTACAATATTCTTTCCTTAAAATTTGGCAGAAGGGGTATTCTCAGTGAAAGCAATTACTCTGTTGAGTTGAATATGGAGCAAACAATGAAACACCAAAAATTCATGTCTTTAAATAAGTCTGAAGATAACAGTTGCTTTTATTTTAAGGAAAAGGTTGCTACACATGTCAAGGAAGATGGTCTTGCTGTAGAAAAAAGTGTTACTACTTTTCAGAAGAAGAAAAGACATGGGATGAGAGTGAGGCATCCTGCAGACTCCTGGGTTCTAATCTCGCTAAGATTGACAGCAGAGAGGAGCAGGTGTGTGTAGTGTGTTGCTGCATGAGTGTTTCCCAAGAAGTATGGATGACAGCACTACGATAATCATCTTTGTTCCTCTGCCTTTCTTTGCTGCTTAATGAAATTATTTGCATATGTTGGTACAAACTTACCTGAAGAGAGACAAGCAAACGTATTAAAAAAAAAACCCAAGAGAATATTTTTATATTTCAATAAATAGGCCTGGTGTGGGTATCATGGGGTAATTCTCAAACATTTCATTTGTACTGCCACTTCAGAGTTTAGCTAGAGCAGATAATTTATCATTAATGAAAAGCTATCTTTGAGGATACAAGTGGTCCAAAAAAGGGTAAATATTTTTGAGTTCTTTTCATTTGTCATCAGTACCTGGAAAAAAATGTACTTCTAGGGTGGAACATGAGTCTCTGTCATTGAACATAGAAAAAAATGGGATTTAAAATAAAAGACAAAAAAATAAAAGGTAGAATTATTCCCCAGAAGTAATTTTTATTTTACTCATAACTCAGGATGACAAGAGTTTTTCTGCTCTTTGTATACATATGCAACATTTGTTATTAGTTCCAAAGTTTAAGAAAGAAAGGGTTACTTTAATTGATTCTATAGATTTATTTTCAACAATTCAAAATTCTAATTTTATGTTTAGATTTAGAAATGTTTCTACTAGTGTCCTATGGAGGATGCATAAGACACCATGCTCATTAACATAACTATTTTATTAAAATGGATTTACTTTTAGAAATTATTGCTTTAAAATGTAGTGATGTACCATTGCAGCTACATCCATTTATGCTTATTCTTTTATCTTTAATTAATAGATTTATTTACTTTGCATTCTAATTGCAGCTTCCTCTCCTTTTCCTCCAAATTCCTCTCTCCCCTCCCCCACTCCTCTCAGAGAAAGGGGGGGCTCCCATGGATATCAACCTACCTATCAAGTTGTAGTAGGACTAGGCACTTCTTCTACTATTGAGCTAGACAAGGCAGTCCAGTTAGGGCAAAGGGACCCAAAGGCAGGCAACAGAGTCAGAGACAGCCCCTGCTCCTGCTGTTAGAGGTCCAAGCTGCACATCTGTTATATATGTATGTAGGGCCTAGGCCTGAAACATGCATTTTCTGGTTGGTAGTTCCCTTTCTAGGAGGCCCTATGGATCCAGGTTAGTTGATTCTGTAAGTTTTCTTGTAGTGTTATTGATCTCTCTGGTTTCTTCAATCCTTCCTTTCCTTCTTCAATAAAAGTCCCTGAGTTCTGCCTAATGTTTAACTGTGGATCTCTAGCATCTGTTTCCATCAGCAGCTGGGTGAAGCCTCTCCCATGACAGTTATGCTAAGCTCCTGTCTGCAAGTATAGTAGAATATCACTAATAGTGTCCGGGGTTGGCTCTCTCCCATGGCACAGATCTCAAGTTAGGCCAGTCATTGGTATTGAATCTCCTGTAGCTTGACTTAGAGGTGGATATGAGCCACTAAATGTGTGTGCTTGGAATCAAACTCAAATCCTCTGCAAATAGCAGCAAGTACTCGTAACTGTTGAGCCATCTCTCTAGTTCCTGGATATAATTCTTATTGTCCTTTTTTATTGTGAGTTTTAGAGAAAGACTTGTAGACTAGACATTGCCTGAAGAGCCTGTGGAGTGGTTCTCTCGGGGACCTTGTAAAGGCAAGCAGGATTTTTGATAATCTAAGGAAGAGAAAACATTGTCCATATCAAACAGAAGTAACTATATGGGGTTTTATTGTAATCAGGTAGAGTCTTGACTGTGAAGAGAAAGGAGATGGCCAAACCTTGACACGGGTGTTAGGTTTCTGGAAAGAGAGCAAGGGGCAATGGGGCAGTCTGGCAGGAAGGAAACAATTACTACCTCATGGTAATATAGTGGTAAGGTCCAAGGAAAGGAAAATAATATTGAGTGACCTATGAAGGAGGAAGGAGTAGGCCCTAATCAGCGGTACCATTGTCACCAAAGTCCCAGGGAAAAGAGATGGGGTGCTGGGCAGCCTAGAGAGGAAGAAACGTTTGACACAATTGATGTGAGGCTTACATCTACAGTTTATTCCTAGAAAATGTAAGTAAATGAATCAATTTATGGACATATAGCTTATGTGGCTTTAGAGATATAAAATGTATACTTTAATGTGTTTCTATGATGTCCATGCATTTTTCATGTATTGCATATTTTCTCTTGTACACATTAATTATACTGCAAGATAACAGAGATCCTGGATTGTGTGGACTCTCTCTCTCTCTCTTTCTCTCACTCACATACACACAGAGAGAGCGAAAGGGAGACAGAGACAGAGAGACACACACAGAGAGAGAGAGATTTGAAAACATAACACTACAACTTTAACTTAACTGTCTTGATTGTCATGGGCATGTCAGTGTTTAGTGACCTATGTATGCTTGTAACATGTCAAGTATATTTTCTTGGGATTTTTCCCTATTTTTTCTTATTGAACAAATTTATTCGTGCTGACTTACAAGTGGTCTTTATTGTCCTTTAAATACTACAAGGATCTCCAAATCTGAGGCTTGTTTTAACCGTTTGTAAATTGTTTTTTAATATTGAAAAATTCTAAACTTAGTGTACCTGATGTATAATATCTCAGTTGATATTAGTGATATTTCTAAGAATAATAAAATTCTAATTTTCTTACAGAACTTAATTCAATCACGATTGAACTACAGCTATTGGGTTGGACTACGTAAAAAAGGAGGTCGGTTCCAGTGGGTACACCAGAAATACTCTCCATCATGCCTTGTTCACTTTTCTCTCTCTTAAGCTGAAAGCTCATGGCAAATCTCTTGCTGACCATGTTGGTGACCTCGGGCACCACCAAGACCAACAAAACTTTGCCACAGATATGGGGAAGGACCCTCATACCCGTAAAGGGAATGCCCCAGACCCAGTTCCCTTATGGAGCCGAGGACTGATATGCCTGTCCAATACCACAGAAGGCACAGCTAACCGGCTACCATAAATATTAATGAAAAAAAATAGATACACTCACAAAGCCAGGCCCAATCATAAATACGATGAATAATAATATACATCCAGGGAAGAGAAATCTCCCTGAGAATCCCCTTCTTTTTTCTTTCCAGGCAAAAATGAATCACCCGGGATGCCTGCCATTAGAAGTTCTAATCCAGATGGGCCAGAAGTCAGGATCCTCGCCCTTACCCTCACCCCCTACCTTTTCCCAGCTGCACAAGGTTCCCTGAAGCTTGGCAACTGCAAGATCCTGCTTGGAAACTGCAGATAGACTCAAAGCAGTGTACCATATCATCTGAAGAATAGCAAGGAGACCATAACTCAAGCAGTGTACCATACCTTCTGAAGAATAGCAGGTTGCAGTCCTCCTCGCCCCCACGAATAACTAGGGCCTGCCAGTCGGGTCAAGTGGCACCCAGACGTGGGGCTCGAGGAACGGACCCCTCTGGACGGACCCTCATTGAGAGGATGTGCGCAGGACATCAAGATTAAGCGAGACAGAGATCAAAACCCGCGACCTGTCATCCACGGAACCAGGTTGATGCTGCCATCAAGAAGACGGTTGAAGTTCATTACCATCAGCCGAAAATTGAAGAGGATCCAGAAGTGACTCTGCAGGAGACTGACACAGCTGCCAGCTCCCCTGCCTCCCCCCTACGGTCGACCGCTAGACTTCCACGCCCTCCAGAAGGGTTCCTGGTATGCCTGGCTTTGCCCCCGTTTCTCTCGATAGAGAGCTTGGCCTCTTGATCACCACAACAAAAATTGGCTTTTTCCTAAACCAAGGCCGCCCTTGATATGGCCGCTAACATTGGGGAGCCTTCCTTTATGACAATATTACACCCCAAACTGACAAATGGTTGGTAAATTGAACATTTACAAGGGACTAGGATGGCTGTGAGTTAGCCCAATGACGGGATTATTGTAGGTCCACTTCCCAGGGGCCCACCCAATGCAGCCGAAAAGGAGTGCGTGGTGCTGGGAGTGGGTGCAGCCTACATGGCCTAAGACAGGGCCCTCACCCTCCTTTCACCCACATCGGAGTCCCTTGATGTTGCCCATCGTCGACAGCCTAAAACCTTCGACCATCGATGTGACTCGTCTCACATCAGTGTTTTGGGGTTGTGAACTTGTCTAAGACCCCCCCATAATTAGACATCCAAATTCAAAATCCACATAGTTGGGATGGATCATAAGATGCCTTCTCTAACTAAACAGAGAAGGGGGAGATGCCAGAAGCCAGGACCCTCGCCCTTACCCTCACCCCCCACCTTTCCCCACCTGCACAATGTCCTCTGAAGCTTGGCAACTGCAAGATCCTGCTTAGCAACTGCAGATAGACTCAAAGCAGTGTACCATATCATCTTAAGAATAGCAGGGAGACCATAACTCAAGCAGTGTACCATATCTTCTGAAGAACAGCAGGTAGATCATAATTCAAGGCAGTGTACCGTATAGACCATGACATGTTTCAAGGCACAGGCCAAGAAGATTTTGTACTTTTCCACCATCTGGCCCCTCTTACCCCCTCCCCTTGTGAAACATGCTATAAAAAAGCATTTCATGTTCAAAAATAAATAAATTATTTATTAAAAAAATAAATAAATAAATAAAATAAAATAAAATTCATCCAAGTCACTAAACTCTACATGATTTATGAAGACATATCCTCCCCCCATTACACCCTCCCCTTCTCAGAGAAAGGGCCCAGGCCCTATATGCTCTCTGCTCAGTGCTTCAGCCTCTATAGGTGGGTCCAGGTTAGTTGACTGTAGATCCTTTTATGGTGCCCTTGACCCTTCTGTCTTATTCAATTCTATCCCCCCTCTTCCACAAGGCTTTCTGAGCTCTGCCTGATGTTTGGCTAGGTATCTCTGCATCTCTTTTCACTAGCTGCTGGATGACACTTCTCAGGAGACAGTTTTGCTAGGTTTCTGTCTTCAACATAGCAGAGTATCATTAATATTGTCAGAGGTTGGCTCTTTCCTATTGGATGGGTTTCAACTTGGGCTAGTCACCCGTTAGCCTTTCCTTCAGTCTCTGCTCCATCTTTATTCCTCCATACCTTGTAGGGAGAACAAATTTGGGGTTGAAGTACTTGTGAGTGGGTTACTGTCCTCCTCCTTCCACTGAAAGTCCTGCCTGGCTACAGGAGGTGGCCACTTCAGTCACTATATCCCTAGCTGATAGGTACTCAGCTAGTGTCACATCCATAGACTTCCCATAGCCTTCCCCTATCAAAAGTCTCTATCTGGTCCCAGAGATGCCCCCCACACATTGATTTCCATTCTCATTCTCACACCCTCCTACCTTCACACTTGATTGCCATCCCCATACTACTCCTCACCCTATCTCCTACTCAGTTCATTATCTTCATCAACCGCTAATAACTATTTTATTTCCGATTCTTGTAGGCATAATGTTTTTATACATTGGATACAGTTTACCCTTGTATTATTCAAATGCTGATTTATCTGCCTTAATCTTGTTTCAATTGGACATGGCATTATAATGCTTATACCAAGAATCTCCTGTCTCAACTTTGTGTAAGCAATTCTTATCATTTACTTTCTACCTTATCAATAAATGCTGATCATCCATTAATTGGGAAGAACAGAGAATATGGCAGGACATCCAACAAACAGAAGAGGGAGAGGGGAGAAAGGGAGATTCAGAGAAGCAAAGAGAATGGAGGATCTGGAGAGAGATCAAGGAAACACACCTGAAGGCCAAAGAGCTAGATCAATAAAAATATACTTGCATCATGGAATAGGGCTGAGAGGTGGCCAGATTAGCATTGTAAGTAAAGACAAGTCACTTAACTGCTCAGCCATTGAGGTGAATTTCAAGTAAATCTCGGGTTTCTTTGTGTGATTACTGAGGACTAACGCAAGGTAAAGAAATACAGCTACCATATTAATTCACTACTACATTTATATTAAAGAAAATTCATTTACACCTTCTCAGTAAGAGTCACACATCCTCCCTTGGGCCCTACTTAATACTCAGATTCTTTGAGTCTATGGAGTGTAGATTGGTTTTCTTTCACTTTATGGCTGATGTTCAATTATAATTGAATCCATACCATACCTGTCTTTCTGTGTCTGTCTTACTTCATTCAAGATGGTATTCTCAAGTTCCCTCCAAGTGCCTATAAATTCCATGATATTTTTATTTCTAATAGCTGAATAGTATTCCATCATGTCGGTGTACCACTTTACTTTATTCATTCTTTGATTGTGGGATATCTGAGTTGTTTCTAGTTTCTGGCTATTATATATAAAGCTGCAGTGAACATATGAAACAAGTGTCCTTGTGTATGGCAAAGCATCTTTTGAGTATATGCTCCGGAGAGGTATAGCTGGGTCCTGGGATAGAACCATTTCCAATTTTCAGAGAAACCACCAAACTACTTTCCAGAGTGGTTATGCAAGTGTGCACTCCCACCAGCAATAAAGAAATATTCTTACTTCAACATCCTGGCCGTTATGTGCTGTCAAGTGAATTTTTGATTTTAGCCATTCTGATGGGCGTGAGAATCTCAGTTGTCTTGATTTGCATTTCCCCAATGACTAAGGACTCTGGACATTTCTTTAAGTATTTCTTTTTTTTTATTGGATATTTTATTTACATTTCATATGTTGTCCTCTTACCCCATCTCCCACCCACCCGGGAACCCCCTATCCCCTTACCCCTCCTCCTTCTTATCTGTGGATATAACCCCTACCTACCCCCAACTCCCACTTTCCCACCCTCAAAATTCCCACCCCCCTGGGGCGTCCAGCCTTCATGAGGTCAAGGTTCTCATCTTCCACCTATGCCCAGCAGGGCCCTCCACTCTTACATATTCAGCTGAAGCCCTGGATCCCTCCCTAAGTGCTCCTCCCAGGCTGGTAGTTTAGACCCTGGGAGCTGTGGTTGGTTGGTATTGTTGCTCTCCTCATGGTGCCACAAACCCTTTCAGCTCTTTCAGTCCTCACTCTAACTCCTCCATTGAGAACCCCATGATCAGTTCAATGGCTAGTTGTGAGCATCTGCCTCTGAATATGTCAGACTCTTGAAGGCCTCTGAGGAGACATCCATATCAGGCTCTTATCAGCATGCACTTCCTGACTTCCACATCAGCATCTACCTTTGGTGACTGCACATGGGATGGATACTCAGGTATTTTTTAACCATTCTAGATTTCTTTGTTGAGAATTTTCTATTTATCTCTATATCCCGTTTTTTAGTTGAATTACTTGGTTTGTTGATGTCAGAATTCTTGAATTCATTATATATTTTGAATACTAGTTCTCAGTCAGATGTAGGATTAGTGAAGATCTTTTCCGAATCTGTAGGCTGATGTTTTGTTTGACTGATGTTGTCCTTAGCCTTGCAAATGCTTTTCAGTTTCATGAGGTCCCATTTATTAACTATAGATCTTAGTACATGAGCTATTGGTGTTCTATTCAGCAATTTATCTCCTCTGCCAATGATTTCAAGGTAGTTTCCAGCTTTCTCTTTCATTAGATTTAGTGTTTTCAGTTTTATGTTGAGATCTTTGATCAACTTCTACTTGAGTTTTGTCCAGGGTGATAGATATGGGTCTATTTGCATTTTTCTATATGCAGTCAGCCAGATCACCATTTGTTGAAGATGCTTTCAATTTTCCATTGTATACTTTTAGATTTTTTGTCAAATATCAAGTATTCATAGATATATGGATTTATTTCTGGGACTTTTATTCTATTCCATTTATCAACTGTCTGCTTTTATGCCAATACCATGCAGTGTTTATTACTATTGCTCTGTAATATGACTTGAAATCATGGATGGTAATACTTCCAGAAGTTCTTTTACTGTATAGGATTATATTAGCTACCATGGGGTTTATGTTTAGGTATATGAAGTTGAGAGTCACTCTTTCAAGGTTTATAAAGAATTGTGTTGAAATTTCTTTGGAGATTGTATGAATCTGTAGATTGTTTCCGGTAAGATGACCAGTTTCACTACAGTAATCCTACTAATCCACAAGTAGGGGCTATCTTTCCAACTTCTCATGTCTTCCTCAATTTCTTTCTTCAGAGACTTGAAGTCCCTGCCATACAGATCTTTCATTTCCATGGTTAGAATTATGCCAAGATATTTTCTATTATTTTTGTTTATTGTAAAAGTTGTTGTTTCATTATTTTTTTCCCTCAGCCTATATATCATTTGTGTAACGGGGGTGGGGGGGCTACTGATTTTTTTTTAGTTGATTTTGTATCCAGTCACTCTGCTGTATGTGTTTATCAGCTGCAGGAGTTCTCTGGTAGAACTTTGGGGTCACTTATACATATTATCATATCACCTGCAAGTAGCCATACTTTGACTCCTCAGTTCCAATTTGTATGGAACTTCATTTCCTTTATTTGTCTTATTGCTGTCGCTATAAATTCAAGTACTGTGTTGAATGGATAGGGAGAAAGTGGGCAGCCTTGTCTTGCCCTGATTTTATCAGGATTGCTTTGAATTTCTCACCATTAACTTTAATGCTTGTTATTAGCTTACTATATATTGCTTTTTTATGTCTAGATATGCCCCTGTGTCCTTGATCTCCCTAAGACTTTTAACATGGATAGGTGTTAGATTTTGTCAAAGGCTATTTTGACATCTAGTGAGATGATCATGTGATTTTTTTCTTTCATTTTTTTATATGGTAGATTACATCGATGGATTTTCATATATTGAGTCAATCCTACATCCCTGGCATGAAATCTACTTGACCATGTTGATCATGTGATTTTTTGTTTCATTTTTATATGATAGATTACATTGGCAGATTTTCATATTTGAAATGCTAAATGCTTCCTACTAGTATTGATGAAAACTTCAAGAGTCTGTTTTACAATTCTCTTAAACTGTATAATAAAGCATCATCTTATCCTTTGTCTTTTTATTCACCCCTGCTTCATCTTACCAAGATGACCCATTCCCCTGCTGGACAGGGGAATCATATCTAAACTTCAAAACAATATATTTTAACAACCTGACCCTGATTGCTCAGATCTTGACTGTGATCCCTACTGACTTGTGTTACATTACACAATGCCTACACAATATATACAACACCTAACTTTTCAGGGTCTATGGCACTTGACCCTAAATGATCATTCTCAGAATAGGCATCTAGTGCTGTAATGTTTCTTACTTATCAAGATAGAAGGATGGCCACTAATCTATCTACCCACAGATCCACAGAAACAGCTAATTACTGGATATGTTTTCTCTGGAACATGTCTACCTCTATAATAAATCATTTAAGCATCTCTTCTAATCTAATAAGTGCTTTTACCTTCAGTCTGTCAGGGCCTACACTAGAATCTATGCTTTTCATTGTAGTGCTTTTATTTCTTTATTTTCTCAGTGACTGACCCACAAGTCAAATTGTAGTCAAAGAACAAGGGTCCTTTTCTGGAGCTTTATCAGATAGCTCCTGGGTAGAACATTATCATCCTAAGGGGTATAACTTCTGCTTTCTACCAAGCCGGAGAAATGCTTCCTTTCCTCCACTGCATGACCTTGAATGCTACATTTTGGGGGGAAACAAGGAAATTCAAGACAATATTTTGCTCTGTCTGAACTCACTATGTAGTTTGAACTCACTATGTACAAATCAATCTGCCTCTGTCTCCAAAGTGCTGAGATTAAATGAGTGTATCACCATGTTTGAACACTACATTTTTAATGACAGAAGCAAGTACACTGATGGTAAGGTTGCATTTTTACCATTTAATTCTCTGATATAAACATGTAGTAAGAGCCAATAGGAAAACTAGGGGACAAGTTTTACACAAAGTAAAAGAACATTCTTTTAGCTTCCTTTTGCAGGAATCTTTCCCAGTATGTTACTTTAACACATCCTCCCTCCCATTTTAAAGCATACCAAGCATGCCTCTCTGTAGATCCTCTGTACCCACTGATAACTCTGCATTCAGTACTGCCTCAGATATAACCATTGTTAGTATTCTTTCTGCAAGTACTTATTAGTAATCATTACTCACTGGACCACCTTAACCTACTTTAGACTACCACCATCCCCTAGATACTTCTCTTCTAGAGTCTGTGGTTCAGACTCTGTACTTTTATGATTCTCTTACTTTTTACTGGATGTGAGTTTAATATTTATCATCACTAATCCTTTTTATTATTAAGGAACAATTTTCATGCATTTTGTCTCCAACAAGAATATGAAGAAATTACTGTCAGTAAAGCATACTTGACTTGGCCTGTTGTATAAGGAAAAGGACAATTAGTGTAAATTAGGATGGGTTTTCTCTATCTCCTGGACTCTTTAGTTTCCACTATACAATCCAAGTGTTCTTTTCTTTCCTGACTCTTAGTGACTGGCTTATGAAATACTCCTATAAGATCAAGAGTTTATAATATATAGTCCCATAGCCTTTGTGCTAATCTAACTTCAATATAAAAAGTCTATGCTCCTGGACTGGAGAAATAGCTCAGAAGTTAAGAGCATTGGATGTTCTTCCA